GGGCTGAATTGCACAAAACGCATGATCGCACCGGCTAGTCTGGTGCGCGTTGCCATTTATTTTAGATGCATTCTTTCATTACTTTGTTATCTTCTTCATTGGCAGCATTTTTGCGAAATATTGATGCTCTGAGATTCTTTCTCCTCCTCTTCGTATGCTTGAAAATGCCACTGATTTACATATCTTTAAGATGGAGTTATTTATTTTTTAATTTTTGCGGCTTAAAAAACGCATTAATTATGCCTATCTGCAAGTGCTGATTTGTTTGTACTTTGAAACTTGAAAAAATTTTATCGTGTGAGGATTGCAGTAAATTAGTAATGCTTTAGTGTGGCAACGGTTGAGAGCTTGCGAGCACAAATCGGATCGCTGGAGCAGCAGGCAAATGAGCAGGCCAACACTATGGTGCAACAGAAACTGGCCCTTCAGAAGGAGCTGCATTGTTTCCAGGAACAGATGAACGATCTGAACATTCTCAAAGCCAAAGCTGATTCACGTGTGAGTGAGATCGAAGCGAATTGCGCCAAAATACTTGCTGAAAAAACAGCGGTAAGTGAAGGAGATTCACAGTCTCAAGTAACAGCTTCCTAATGAGTTAATTTACTGATAGAGTTGATAGTTTTCCCAATAAATTTATACTTTTTTTTCGTTTATTGCAAAAAAGGATCATTTTCGATGAGTGTTGTGATTAGCCAGAGATGTATGACAGATTAGCTGATATTTATGTAGTTAAGTGGTTAAGTTGTAGGCAATTAAATATTCTTTTTGAACACTTTTTTTATGCGTTTTGTACTGTGTAACAGCAATAAAAAACGCATATTGTCACGGGGTTGTCTATGCGTGCGTTTGTGTGTGTGTGTGTATGCGTTTGTGTCCGCAGCAACTTGTCCGCAACTTTCAACTCGGGGACCACAAAAGCTAGGAAGCTGAAAATTTAGGGTAACGTTCCCCACCCAGGTGTGACCCCGCAAATTTAAATTCAGCTTCCCCGTAGCCGCGGGTAACACGTATGGCCCCGTGAAATTTATTCACTGGTAAGTTAATATCTCGGGG